TGTGCATAGGGTCGCTATGAGTCGGAAACAACTCGACGGCACATAACAACAACAACGTAGGATCTTAGCTCTAAATTCTGTCATTGAAGCTTAGATATTCACTTTACCTTATTTCTTATAAATGCAGTGGCTTAAAATTATTTTACTGTTGATTGTGATAATGATGCTTACACATCAAACATATAAGTTATTTAAAACATATGCTTTCAGTGAATTAGAATTAGTCTACTTTCTTATCTTACTGGCTATCTTACTCCATTAATATTTTTTCAGCCATTTTCCCTGTGATTTATTTAAGTTCAGAATAATTTCTTTTTTAAAATTTTTTATTTATTTTATTTTATTAGTTTTTTGTGTGTACCGTCAAATCAGATCTGTCTGGTACAGGAGGAGATTGTTCCTCCTAAAGTTCAGAATAATTTCTAATAGCTGAGGAATGGAAATAAATTTGGCTTTGCATTTAGTTACTCATTCCTGTTGGATTAGTTTGAAGTATTATAGTCATTTGTCTCTAGGAAGCAGATGAGACGGATTGACACTGTGACTACAGCAAAGGGATCTATTGTGTCAGAGATTTTGAGGACAGCATAGGACAGGACAGGGTTCAGATCTGTTGCTCATAGGGTCACTAGGAATCGTACTCAACTCAGCAGCACCTAATGACAAAAGGATGTTGAACAGGTTTCCAAGGAGCTCACAGTAAGATGAGCTGGTAATAAAGGCCTACAGATTGACTTCCAAAAGTAACCAGTGAAAATCATATGGAGCCCTAGATCTGACCCACATTCATCATGAGAATGGTGCAGCATTTCTTCGTGTAGGCATGGGATCACTATGAGTCAAGGACTAAGTTAATACCAGGTCATAACAACCAAGCATACCACTGGACTCTTGTGAAGTTAGTTTTAATTCTAATAAAATGACTTGGCTAGAGAAGCTGTGGTATATTCGCACAATGGAATACTATGCTGCATTAAAAAACAAGGAACTCATGCAATATTATTCAAAATGGTTGACT